AATAGGAATATAAGTGATTTTGAACTACAAACATACATAAAAGCAGTAATAGACAACATTCCATTGTTAATTTATATTAGATTTTACTCTTAAAATCAAGGTCCATATAAAAATGCACAAGTTAAACAGGAGTCAAGGTGTCAAAACTAACAATTATAGGAAAGCTAATTTAGCTGATGAGAAATAGCGCAGATGGATAGACAGAGAGGTGCATCTTGACAGTTTTACATAGACGGTACTTATGTGGCTACTGGTTGGGGACCACCAAAACCGGACAACCACCAAACCTGGATGGCTCCGAAAAATGCTTACTTTAGCATTATCTTTGTTCAGTGGTTGTCAGTCACTTTTCATCAACAATAAATCCACGTTTCTTCTAAAATTAAGTAAATAAATTTATTTCAACCTCCGTAAATGATGATATTTAAATTTTTATTTCAAGAATGTTGACGTTGAAATTTGGGGGTCAAGGAAACAATGCCTACAAGCTATAATCATTTGCAGAGTAAACAATAGAATATCAGTGAATTTTTTCACTGTATTTTACAGCCAAATAAAGGCTTTTTCCCCTAGCCAAAAATAGGTATATTTTCCGCTTAAAATGCTAATATTTTCCCCTAAAATGCCTTGTGATCTTCTTTACCAGAACTGTGACTTAACAGCAGCTGACTTGAACATCAGCTAGAAGACAGAAATCTGTGCCTACAGTTGTACCATGCATGATAAATTAAATTGAATTGATTTTTTTCATAAAATGTGATGGTAAATCCCATTTTCTGTTGTTTGAATTTGATTTCAGCTTTTACCTTTTTTCTAATGTAATGCGCTATATTTCCCCCTTCAGGTTTTAAAAATTGGAAAAAAAGTCTGTATCCAAAACTTCAGCATTTGTTGCTGACATATATCATGTTAAAAATCAAAACACACAAGCTTTTATCTGTCTGAATTAAATCACATCATTTACATATCTGACCTGACACATGGTACTGTAGTGTAGACAATTTAGGTAATTTTGATACCCTCCTTGTCGAGCCTCAGAAATAAGTGTCAATACAATTGGAAATAAACAAAGACGTAGTTTGTAAGTTAGCAGAAGAACCTAGCTGAACTGTGTCAAACTGTGTCATTTTTTTGGTCTCTGGGAATCTGTACAGTAAAATGTTCCAATCAACCCTCCAAGTCGGTATCAGTAGGCATTGCATAGAAAATATTGAGCTAAATATAACACGAGACGTTTGCTTAGCTCGTATGTCATCACGAAACTGAATTAATTTTCATCTTGGGCCGTAACCAGTCAAAGAAATGGTTATTGCTGACAAACGTTACGTATTTTAATTAGTCTTCTTTTCTTTTTTTGACAGATATTTTCAATACTTCTTTCCTGATCATCCCCATCATCATCATCATCATCACTATAATCATCATCATCATCATCATCATCATCATTATCATCATCATCATCGTCATCATCATCATCAACAACAACAACAACAACAACAATCATCATCGTTTAATAATATGAAAATCAATTCAAGATTTCAAAAGTAAATGAAAAGTAAATTTTAAATTTGCTTCAAAAGAAAAAGATTACTTTAACTCACATGACAATCAAATGTTAAAGTTCCAGCGTTAACTCAGTATTTTCTATCCATTTTACACAGTTTAATTTCGTGAATCTCTTTTAAAGTGGAAAATCATACATACAATTATAAATATGCATAATTATACAAATATATACAATAAATCATGATAGAGTTTCACATTACATTTATAATATAATTTTTGAAATTGATGAGATTATATAAAAATACGTTAGGAGAAATGGTTTAATATTGCATTATATCATATTTATTAACGGACAGTTTTGAGAGATTCTTTTACATGCATCTATTGAAGTAATACTCACAAATGACAAACGCATTTTAACATTTTTATTTGACCTTTGACCCTTTGTTACATTGACCTTCATTTTGCGTAAGACAGCTCAACTCAACATGGAGAATATTTGTGCAAAGTTATATTAAAATCCATCCACGAAGTTATACTCGGATTTACTTATTTGACCTTTGACCCCTAAATGTGACTTAGACCTTTACCACAGACACCTGAAATTTTCGCGCGACACTCCGCTTCGCCATAGAGAACATTTGACCCGAGTTATATATTTAACTCCCACCATGCATGTATGCATCCGGACAGGGTTTAGCGCTGACCCCCAAGTGTGACCATGACATTTGAACAAGACGGGCGCACAGACACCTAACTATACGCCAAAGTGGCAACTAAGTCGAGCTTACCGCAAGCGTACTCGACAAAAACCTTAATATCGAAGAGAAAGAGGTTGTTTATATATAAATACCTTGAAAATAAAATGTTTATGTGTAAATAGTGTTCTTTTTACTTAAAATATTTGTATTCAGAACAAAACTGCACAAAGTTTATTTAGCATTAAGAATAGTGCACGTTGTTTCACAATATTGACTGAAATAGGAATATTGTTTTCAAGTCTGTGATAATATGATGATCTAAATCATGAAGTTAGCCAGACAGCCGGAGCAGCAGGGTCCGGGTGTTCCCGCTACTCCGGCTAGCTGGAATCCGGTTCCGACTGAACAGGCTAGCCAGAGATTATATGGTAAAACCTGTGCAAAATACCATTTGTGTATTCCATGATGTAATTTCAAATTACTTATCACCTCGAACTCTTCAGGCTAGCCAGAATACTCGAAATATAGACTACTTAGAATAAACAAGAGGGCCAGGATGGCCCTAAATCGCTCACCTGACCCATCGAACTCATCCGAGCAATTACTTAGACAAGCATCCTGACCAAGTTTCATGACAGTTGAGTCAAAAATGTGACCTCTAGAGTGTTACCAAGGTTTTTCCATAATTGAGCAGTGTGACCTAGGTCTGACCCCTGAACTTAATTCAGAAATTACCAAAACAACTTTTCAGACCAATTTCCAGGATATTTGGATCAAAACAGTAGCCACTAGAGTGTAAACAAGATTTTTCTTTTTTTAGCTCCTTTGACCTAGTTTTTCCTCCGAAATAACCCATGTTCGAACTCATCCAAATAATTACATAGACAAGCATCCTGACCAAGTTTGATGATGATTGAGTAAAAAATGTGATCAACAGTGTGTTAACTAGGTTTTTCCATATTTGGACGATGTTACCTAGTTTTTGACCCCAGGTGATCCATATTCGAACTTATCAAAACAAAGTTGCAGACCAATTTCCAGGATATTTGGTTAAAAAAAGCAGCCACTTGAATTTTAACAATACTTTTCTATTTTTAGCTACTGTGACCTAGTTTTTCATACGAGATGACCCATGTTCGAACTCATCCGAGCAATTACATAGACAAGCATCCTGACAAAGTTCGATGATGATTGTGGGAAAAATTGTGACCGCTAGAGTGTTAACGAACACATGTGGACGGACGACGGAAATTCAACGACCCTACAAGCTCACCCTGACATATATTAAGAACATGTGTGTCGTGTATAGCGCGTCCGTGTGTCCGCGGGTATAGGTGTGTCCGTCGGAAATACTCTGGTATTTTGCCCACTTTGAGCCTAAAAATCGTATTACACATGGTCATTTCAGCTCAAATCTCGCCAATTTCGGCCGACCGGCCCCTGTGAGGCCCACCCTCAGTTCCGCAGAAACCCATATGGTGGGTGTGACCGCGGAAATAGGTGTGCTCGTCGGGAATACTCTGGTATTTTGTCGACGTTGAGCCGAAAATCGTACTATAGATGGTAATTTCAGCTCAAATCTCGCCAATTCCGGCTGGCCCGCGTGAGGCCTACCCTCATTTCCGCAGAACCCCATATGTAGGGATGGTTAGGGGGTCTGACCGTGTGTCCGCGGGTATTGGTGTGTCCGTCAAGAATACCTTGGTATTTTGCCGACCCTGAGCCGAAATCGTACTATAGATGTTCAGTTCAGCTCATATCTCGCTAATTTCGGCTGGCCCCTGTGAGGCCCAGCCTCCATTGCTGTCAGTTACATATGTAACTTTATGTAAATATTTATTTTATTTGGGGACGATACGCCATGTATAGAATAGCACAATTTTCTTTATTTTTAATTTCATCGTTTTCATGAACAAATTGAATTCTGCTTAAGCCTATGAAGCGTGGAAAGTAGCTTCACCTATTAGTATCATGCATCAGCAAGCCCAATCAAATCGAGCATGCACCATTTATTATTTTAGCATATGGAACGGTCATATGAGTCGTTCTTAATATACCTCTATTCTGTACTCTGAGTAATTTAACTTTATATTATTCAAAAAGACTCCATAAAGCGAAATTTTAGCAATTCATTTATATTATAAGGCCCTTGGTGACACTTTACAACATAATTTACACACATTCAAAACATAGACACAAACCCTTTGACGAAATAATATTCATCTTCGACCTTATCACAGGTTGCAAAACTTTTGAATTGTGTTGCTTTTAACACCAATTTCAATTTGTACTTTTGCAAAAAATTCTTTCAAAACGGAAATATACGAGTCGACCTTTCTTACTACTGCTCACTGATATGTATATGGACTGTTGTTTAATATCAGTTTATTTTCTTTTACATATCATGAAATAAACATGTAAACCACTTAATCTAAAAACAATATGTTAAATTTAAAAATCAAATGTTTAAGTAATAAAAGAGGATATTGCATGAGTGTAGGTTCAATACTGAATTTATTGAACGAGTTCAAAAAAATTTTATTATGCGGGCATTTGGCCAGCAAAATATTATTTTATTCAACGAATTCAATGAATTCAGTAATGATCTATTGAACGAGTTTAATAAAGTTATTAAGCAAGCCTTTGGCGAGCAAAATATTATTTCATTCAACAAGTTCAATAAATTCAGTAATAAAGTAATAAACCTACACGAATGACTACATGCATGTAATATTATATATTTATCAGATACCCAAATTAAAGTGAAAAAAAAAATCATTGACGCGCCTATAGTGTAATGATAACACACACAATGTTTGTATAAGGTAAATGACGGAATGTCTGAAATATGTGCACGACCGTGCGGTACCGTTTTTACGGAGTCACAAAATCGGCACGGGTATGTGACGTCAATTTTTTCGCATATATATTTCATGAGAGAAAACAAAACAAAGAAAAACAAATAAAAAAGCATATAAAAGCGCGCGTATAAAGTCAAAACAAAATAATTTTCATTAAGTTCAATTCGTTCAATTTGTTAAATCGTCACGTGTTGAAAAGAATATTATATTCGCTGCTGGAGGCTGGCTTTATGACAATCCTTGCACTTGTTAATATAGTTGTATACTATATGGTTACTCATAGTAAATAATTTATATGCTAGTAAACACAGTCCAATTGATCAAATGTTGAATTCTGCTTAAGCCAGTGCTTGAAAGCGTGGAAAGTAGCTTACAATAACTAGTATCACCCATCAGCAAGCCCAATCAAATCGAGCATGCGCCATTTACTATTTTAGCATACATGTATATGAAAAGATCTTATGCAAGGGACAGGACATGAAGTGATTGCACACTTGTTTAAAGTGAGAAAATTAGTTGCAGACTTGACAAAATGGCCACCAAGTCATGAATATTTACAACATGAAAACATGATAACATTTTGCAAACATTGTATATACAAAATATCTAAGTGTGCAAATTCAATACATACATTTAATATTGAAAACAGTTCTTAAATAAGTTTTATGTCCGCATATGATGTGTTATATCCTTTTTGAATTCCAATGAAATCTTTCATAATCCTTCACAAAAACACATTCAATTCAAATGGATGACAAACACACAAAGACAGTGTAACAAAAATATATACCATAATCAAAAGCATATAATATTTCAAAACCAAAATGCAATCTAGTATCTATAGTATATGGCTCGTTGCAAATCATCATTATGTAAATACCAAAACTCTTTGACGGAATGATATTCATCTTCAACATTATCACTGGTTGCAAAACTTTTTAAAAAAAGTTTAATTTGTTAAGTCGTCATGCGTTGAAAAGAATATTATATTCGCTGCTGCAGGCTCGCTTTATGACACTCGTGGCACTTGTTAATAAAGTTGTATACTATATTGTAACTCCTATTAAATCATTTATATGCTAGTAAACACGCTCCACTCTCTTGAAAAATTTCGAAATTGCTTGCCGAATATCGCGCCTAACTTGTTATGACCTCTTCAACACCTTCAGCATACTTTTCACAGATCCATTTTAAAGTGTGGAATACCTGGAAAATAAAAGATTTTACAGGCATGACAACCAATACTCGAAAAGATGAAATGAAAATGTATAGTCCTCTTAGCTAGAAAAATTTAATTAAACTGCAATAGATTTCTTGAATAACTATAGTTAATATGAACCTTTACCAAAAAAAAAAAAAAAAAAAAAAAAAAAAAAAGAAAAAAAAAACTTTGTCTGTTTATGAGTGTTATTTGCAATAGTGAAGTAATAATGTTTTGTTTGTTTGTTTGTTTTGGGTTTTACGTCACATCGACACAGTATAGGTCATATCGCGACGTTCCAGCTTTACTGGTGGAGGAAGACCTCAGGTGCCCCTCCGTGCATTATTTCAGGCACAAACGGGCACCTGAGTAGAACCACCGACGTTCCGTAAGCTAGCTGGATAGCTTCCTCACATGAAAGAATCCAAAGTCCCTGTCGGGATTCGAACCCACAGCGGTGAGGGGCAAGTGGTTTGAAAAGAAATAATGTAAAAAAGGTTTTGATAATAACTTGTAACGATTTCTTACACTTATATTATCATCAGCAAACTCGATCAATCCTTTTTGAACAGCTTCTTTAAATTTATATGCAAAAACACGGGTATTTTCTAAAACCAGGTAATATCTTTTCCAAGTATGATTCATATCTCACAAAATCTGATTTATACGAACAATTCTGATATCCTGAAAAGTCAGAGAAAATTGTAATGATGCCCAATTCGTGCATAAAATTAAAATGTAGTAGTAAATATCATAAATTAATGAAATCAAATCTTGTAAGTAATGGTATGTATGTGTATCAGTGATGTATATTTAAAGAAGACAATAGAGACAAATATATGTACTTGCACTGACGACAAAACAACTGATTGTCAAATAACTAGTGTTTTATTGCCTTGTTTGATATTCATTATATGACAAATTTCAATATTGAAAATATAAAAAAAGTGATTTCTTTTGGCAACAGAATTGATTTTATGATTTCTTTAAATTAAAGTATATTTATATGCATGAAATTTTCAATGGACGCTTGCTTTAAAAGGTCCATTATGCCCCTCAAATGCTATCATTTTTATTTCTCAAATCCATTTTATAATTCGTATTATGTTAAAATTTACATCTATCTTTTGCCTCTTTCCTCTTTAAAAATGGGTTTATGTATAATGATTTAGTTATGTGTATGGAATATTCAATACTACTTTGTATACGTTCTGCTACCTTTATGACACATTAGTTCAGCGCTACTTTCTTCAGTTAAGTTAAGTTAAGTTAAACATCTAACATGCTGTAAATCCATTACTAAAAATTATTAAACACCTATGTGACTTTACTTAAGAATTGTAAAATTATTGATTTATGAGATATAAATGGCCTTTAAATTTTGCATGTACTACCTTTATTCAAAAATTTCTTGTATCTACAAGTATGTAACAAACCTATGATCTTTTTGATACCTCTATCGCTTACCAATGTCAACTTCGCGTATGATTATGATAGTAGTGAACCACTGCTTTTTATATCTCACATTACCTTTCTTAGTTTTTGTATAAAATTGTACACTAGTTAAAGCTATGTTTAACACATTTTCTTGTATTTTTATTTCGCAACCACAATGCTAGCCGAACCTGCGTTTTTAAGACATTTCCATTTTCTAGTCTGACGTAGAAGATGTCATTGATATTCTTAAATAAGGGACTGTATTTGTTTGCATCAAACAGGCAAGTAGGGAATCCTACTTTCCCTACTTTTACCCTGTAAAATTCTGATGAAATCCTTATGATAATCACGTACGATTGTCTCCAAAAACTCCAAGGAAGTGTTTAATGAAGTTTAGAGACATAGAGTTAGGCATTGATATGTGCATTTTATATTTCTGTTAATAACATAGAGAAACAACTGATTTCCCACACGCGATCAATGCTAACATTGATAATTATATTGTATTTGAATTCTTCTGGACACATCAAAACATCTATTTTGGCGTACAGTATAACTAAGGTAACAAATCTCAATGAATTAGTTTTTATTCTAACCATTGTTGAAGGCCGTCGGTACAAAGTTTAATTACGCCCATATAATTATAATCCCCTGTCTACATAATTTAAAGAATAGCTTTGTGTTTTGTATAATAAATTGATAAAATTAAGGTTCAATATTACACAGGAGATGGAGACGTCAATATATGCCCAAGTCAATTTATATTAAAGGAAGCATTTGACGAGTGGCAAACGTGTCTTTCTCTCGATCTAGGGTTCGGGTCATACTTGGGTCATGACAGTGTTTCTTCAAATTTCAACAGAGTAGGTTTGTTCAAGATAAAGGACTTAAGAGTGGTTCAAATAAGCTCCAAGCTGTCATAAAATAAATGCATTTAATGATTTCTCTTTATATGAATATATGTCAACAAGGGATATCATAAATATTATATTTTAGGCATATGAAAATGTGTTGTCACTACTTTCTTTGATTCAAAGCATTTAAAATTTAGCAATTCAAAATGCAGTGATAGACATGGACTAAACGTATCTTGGTATTACTTCTTATGAACATATACTTTGTTTTAATATATAATAAGACAAGTAAAACCACTTTACATAATTAAGCCCTTCAATCCATATCAGTCTTTCCATTAGAGAAAAACTGCCCGCTGTATAGCAAAATATAGTATTCATGACAATTACCTTAAAAAGTTGACATTTTATATGCATCATTTACAACTTTTTGTTATTTATTGAATTTACATATCTAAAGTAATATCAGCTTCAATTTATAATTATTAAATATAATTGAATCATATAAACTTATAAAATCTCCTCAATTATTATAATATTAACAAGAAAAAATATAAAAACATAACAGATGAATTTAGTTTATAAATACTCATAGCTGCATAATTATGTAATCATTTACTTATAATATTAACAAATACGTAGAGACTTACCAGTGAAGTTTGACTTCAGATTATCTAAACTGTAAAATTAAATATAGACATAAGTTTAATCAAACAAACAAATGGCATATACAATACTGTGTCGCCTTGTTCCTATTATTTTGACAACGTTTTTTTTCTACATGTATATAACTGTAGACAAAGGAGTCAATTATCACTTGACCATTTAAATGGAAGCGAACGTGCACACTTTGGCTGGCTTGAATTATGCAAACGTACACACTTATCTCTTCTCTTCGTTAACGCTGTTCTTAAAGTAAATATGATGTGATTACAAAGAGCTCGCGCTGTAAAAGGTACAGATGACATGTCTTGTGAAATCGTGCTGTTTTAGCTTGTTACAACAGAATTGTTTTGTAGTTATTTTGAAGGTTTTTTTTGCAAAGTTTGTATAATTTCTATGCCGAATGTCAAATAATCAAGGGACCTTTAAACAAATCTCATATTCGTAAACTGCAACATCTTTTATGTTTTAGCTGTAAAAAATCAGAAAGGTATAATCATGCCCAAACTATATTTCACAATTCAAACAAATATTCATGTACCCAATTCCCAGAGCACTATCCTACGTTACTCTCTCAATTTACTGAGTAGCTTTTTCTCTACATAGTCACCAGTAAGGAGTCTGTGCCTTCTAAGCCATGTTTCGTAGGTTTCAATAAACCAGTCTTCTTTGAATGAGGATATCCAAAGCTTAGATTGTTTAAAAAGTTCAGATGCCGAATCACGTAAAACCACATCAAGGGCACCTACAGATTGGAGGCTAGAACCGGCCTGCATGGTGAGCGATTCAAATGCTAAAGCCCCAGTAGTTTGTTTTTCTAGCTGTGTTGCATTTGCCTTGTGTCTCAATATTTTATCATGATTTGCACATGTAATAATGAATTCATTAAAGAAATACTGTAAACATGTGGAATGAAATACATTTTACATCCTGTGTATGTGTCAACAGAAATACATTGGTGTAGTTGTTATCACTATTTTTAAGCCGCAAAATGTGACAAATACAAAATAAATATAGTTATATAAGTAATTTCAAAATCCCTTGAACGATGAAAAACTATTGGTTGCACACAATAAAACTAAAACAGCCCATGTTAAGCTTTGGCGTTCTAGTATGACCTTTGAAATTGGGGTATTATTATTGTTAACATGTGTGCCAAATAATTTCAAAATCCCTTGATTTATAAAAAAGTTATGGACCGGACAGAAAATATACATAATAGCAGACACCTCCAACTGGGCTGGATACTCTGAAGCTTTCATAACTTTTTTATCGCAATCAGTAAATATTGTTCATCATACAAAATGTAAATATGGAATAAATATGTTTGAACCAATTGTGTCCTTGACCTTGGAGGTAGGCGTCTGGCTGGTGCGCACGACACGTCGTCTTATTATCTCATTTTTATGAACGTTTGTGCCCTGAATTTTTAAAATCCATTGATGGACAGACAATGTTGACCTCAACGTGTTCAACCATACAAAGAGAAATACAATTTACTTGGCAATGATATTTTTTAGCTTATAAAAAATTCTAGACTGCTCTGAGTATTTATAACCATGTTGCTATGGAAACCTGTTTGTCTATGTAAGAATTGTGATTTAATTTCCATTTCAAGACATTTACTTGTTGCAAATGAAGGTATTCACATACCAAGTTTGAACAATATTGAATGATTATGCAAACTTTCCGAACAAGCCACGTGTAAATTTGGGATAGCATTTACAGTTGTAATGCCTAGTCTCAACCATCTCCTTGACTGTTCGTGATTTTAAATTTAATATTTTTATGAAATGTTTATAAAATGAAGTTGTTTTTCGGTCTGACGTGTATAAATCATCTCTTCAGTGGCCAGCTGCAAAGACAATTAAAGTTGTATAACTGCATGAGAAGTAAAAAAAAGAGGTAATCATTTAAAAAAAACCGGTAGAAAAATGCGAAGAAATTGAAAGTGTACATGTAATTCCTCACAAATAACATCTGCATCACTCAAACAAAAATTTCTGTAAATATAGTGAAGAAAAGAAACGTCCTCTGTGTTTATGCGGACATAAAGTGTTATTTTAAAACAAGAAGTATCTTTAAAAAGATACTCGACCGAAGTCAAACTTTTGAACTTGCATAGGATAAGCTACTACTAACCATGCTAACCGCAAACAAAACATCTTATTCGTCCTCAATAGTTTTATTTTAGTTCATTTTTACCCACAATGTTTTTCCCCATTAATTGTCATCTTAGAATTAAACAATATTACTAACATTATTTGATTTTAATCAAAATGGAATTTGATTTGAATAGGAATTTATAATACAACAAAGATTTAGTAGATACTGTACACTAATCCCCGGAGAATTGTGCAACGAAAGTTCTTTTCAATCGCCTTATGCCCGGTTCGAGAAGAGAATATAATGACTAGAACAGCTTAGAATAGAAGAGAAACCCAATCAAACGCTAAAGTATCAAAAGGTTGATCTGTCATTTTTGATTTCAAATATTTATTGAAAAGCTGTTCGAAACATCTAGAAAATAACTTTATTGTGTTTTGATATTTATACCCCCAAAAACGAAGTTTGGGGGGTATATAGGAGTCACCCGGTGGTCGGTCGGTCGGGCGGTCGGTCGGTCGGTCCAGACGTCCGTTGCATTTTCCTTGTCCGGAGCATAACTTAAAGACTAATGGTTGGAATTCAATATAACTACATACAATGGTCAAGCACATTGAGAGGAAGTGCAGTGGACAAGAACCATAACTCTATCTTGTCTAATTACAGAGTTATTGCCCTTTGTTACTTTTCCTTGTCCGGGGCATAACTTGAAAACTACTGGTTGGAATTCAAAACAACTTCATACAATTGTCAAGCACAATAAGGGGAAGTGCAGTGCACAAGAACCATAACTCTATCTAAAGTAATTACAGAGTTATTGCCCTTTGTTACTTTTCCATTGCTTTCTTTTGTCCGGACCATAACTTGAAGACTAATGGTTGGAATTCATTATAACTTCATACAATGGTCAAGCACATTGAGAGGAAGTGCAGTGCACAAGAACCATAACTCTATCTTGACTTATTACAGAGTAACTGCCCTTTGTTACTTTTCCTTGTCCGGGGCATAACTTGAAAACTACTGTTTGGAATTCAATACAACTTCATTAAGTTGTCAAGGACATTAAAAGGAAGTGCAGTGCACAAGATCCATAACTTCATTTTGACAAAATACAGAGTTACTGCCCTTTGATACTTTTCCTTGTCTGGAGCATAACTTAAAAGGTACTGGTTGGAATTCAAAACAACTTCATACAATGGTCAAGCACAATAAGAGGAAGTGCAGTGCACAAGAACTATAACTCCATCTTCAGTATTTATAGAGTTATTGCCCTTTGTTCCTTGTCCTTGTCTTTCTGGACTTATTACAGAGTATTCAATAAAACTTCATTAATGGCCAACCACATTGACAGGAAATGCAACATACAAGAACCACAACTATCTTTAATTGCCCACAACCATAACTCTATATTTCAATTCTTTTACAAGGTATTCTGTTACTAGTAACATCCTCATTTCCGAAGCAGTCTTGTGGGGGTATTAATCACATTTAGTGATAGTTCTAGTTACATTGTATTCTGACATATCTTTTTCCAACACTTCTTGCCATAGCGCAATCGAACAGACCTCCACCAATAACGGAATCTCTTCTAAAGTATCAATCGAACAGGCTATTAGTGTTAAAATGACCAATGAAATTCTGCCTATATTCATTTCTTTACTGTTAATCTTAGCGGAAGTCAGACGGCCCTTGGCCGGAAAATGTCAACATGCTACATATTTTCGGGCAAGCGATTAGAATGTGTCCGATAAAACAAATTATAATTAGATTTTAACTCATTTTGGAAGAGAAACCCGCTAAACGTGATTTTCTCATGCACGTGTATATTTTATGAAACCTTACAGTGTAATTTTATAGACTTTCATGTAAATAAGAAAAAGACGTTGAACTATTCGGAATACCAACCTGCGCAGTCGCTTTCAAAGTGCCATAGCTACTGCTACTAACACCCCTGATACATAACAACCGTATACTGTCCAAATTGTGTGCAATGGACGTCGACCATACGTTGCTTGTGTTTTGAGGCGACGTCACCGCGTAAATTGCGTTAAAAATTGGGAACGTACTCTCTAACTTCAGCTTAGACAACAATGGAATAGCAATCTTTTCTTTGACGAGTCGAGGTTTTCCATTTATCTAGCTGATGGCAGGGTTCGAATATATCGTAGTAGCAATGAACGTTTTACCGACTGCTGCATACTTGAACGAGCTCGTTTTGGGGTGGGAGTTCTGTCTTGGCCTGGGCAGACAATGCACATGGTTTTCGTAGTTATCGTAGGGAATTTTGATTCCAACGCTACCGAGGTAAATTAATGAGAGACATGTTATCCTACTGTTTCAAAATAATGTAAATAACACTCTTTTTAACATGATAATGCCACAAGCCGTGCAGCTAGGGAAACTGTGAATTTCATCAGCGAAAAGCATTGCATTTATTTATGACTGGCGTGCCAAACGCCTTCTAGTTATCTAAATCCCAATGAGCACATTTGGGATAATTTGGATCAGCGTGTTAGACGTCAGCTAGCACATCCTTGATACAGGAATGGAACAACGTTCCAAAAGCCGAAATGAATACACTGATCCGTTCTATGCGTCAGCGATGCCAAGCAGTCCTTCATGCTGAAGTTGGTCATACCCGATATTTATATACATGTAGACCTAGTTATACCATGTCAGCTATACAGATAGCTACAGTGAGCTAAACTTGTTCATTTTACAAAGTATTTTTACGTATTTGTCTACACAACAATGACCTAATGCTGTTGAACACTTTTCAATGCCTACTCGGATGGCTCACGAATCGAAGATATATATAGTCGATTTCCAAATTAGTATTCTAAACACTTTTCCAAAAGATAAAACTGTCTGACTTAGGAGTTCAAAGATTTTACAACATACAATAATTATGATGGTTGTGACGATTTCAATGCTATCAAATAAATTAAATTAACAAGACAGTTGTATTATACTGATTTTACGATGGCATGATTTCACATGAAAGCATATGTAAACTTCATTTTGAAAACATTCAATCCTGTTAAAGGCGAAAGCTCTTTGTTAATCAGATGCAAATCATCATTAATCATCTGCATCTTAATTTGAAAAAACAACAATTAATTATAGTTTAAAACGGTGGATTGTGTGGATTGTATTTGGCGAGAAAAGTGTGTACAAAATTAAGTTTTGGTGATTTCAAATATTCTACAAACATTTTAAAGCTACAAGTACTCGACACTATAAGTGATATATTTATTGTAAATATATTTATCCTACGTTAACACGATGCGTAATCGTTCCGGGCTGATTTGGAATATTTTCCCGTTCCTGAACTGATTTGGATTTATTGGCACCGATTGATTCAGATAATTTGGATTTTTAGCTTGACAAGGTAAGGAAATATACAAAATAAACACATTTACATCTTTAAGTCTTTAAATATTCTACTTGCACGGAACATTGCAATGGTTAAGGAATTCATATACAACTTTATAAGGTTTGTTAACGGTCTTTTATGAGTTGGCATCCGAAAACAAATTTCACATGTCAGTGAAGAAGTAGCAAGCAATAGCATAAAATTGCCAAAAAAGCCATTATTATCTATGATTTTTCAAGTATTCCATGATCAACTATAGAAAAAATAATTCCGCGATAATTTAATGGTTTTAGTAAAATGTTTTGTCCAGTAATGAATTTGTAATACGTATTTTTTGACAACCCTCTAATTTGTTTAGAGCACCGGATTGATTCATATTGAGGGAAAACAAGGCAACGGGCTGATTTTACGCTTGAAGCTCACTGCAACTCTTAATCAATCGTCGAATTCTCATGTTTAACAAGGACATTTTCTATAACCTATCAATTTGTATAAACATGTTTACAAATTGTAATTAAATATTAAAACATTAAAAATATACATTGTATATTAAATTATATATCAAATATTAAAATATATAATGTCGAGAATCTAATTTAAAGTTGCAAATGCCAGTTTGCAAAGTCAAAGCAAATGTGTATACGTATCGACATATTTATAGTTTTGTCAAAGTGTTGTTTAATAGAGAGGGATTGGAATATAACTGTATAGTAGTGATGGTAGATTTGTTTCATCTTAAAGTGTTGATATATCCAGGTTAAAGGATTTTCCTGTTTATAATTCATAGGATCTTCCGTTAATCCGTTATTAGACTGGGGCATATTTCCACATATTGGTAGCTCAGTATTTATGCTGCAATTTCCTTTCAGAAATAGTCAATCAAAACGTGTATTATATAGTATATATGTTAAAACAATTACGGTTCTAGATTGTTTGGTGTTTTGAGCCTGCTTTGGCACTCTCATAAACCATTAAAACAAATATTTGCAAATGTCATAATCAGATAATTAAATGTAATGACATTAATATTAACTATCAATGAAATATAGAAGAGCCGAATAGACTTTTTTCCTATTTTCCAATGCATTTGTAGGTAAACATAACTCGAAATCGAATTCCTTTCGGTTCATTTTCTCGACAATTCGCTCCATACATTGATTGTAAATTCTTATATAATTATGTGCATATATTAGCGGAAGCCTTGATACTTTCTAAAGAAATACATTACGGTCATCCATAAACGTTAGTTTCACATGTACCTTCGCTACACTTACTATATAGTTATATTCCAGTTCCTCCGTGTAATACAACACTTTGACAAGACTATGAATCTGCCAATAATTGTATACATAAACGTATATGTTGCTTTGACTTTGACTACTGGTATTTGAAACTATAAGTTATACCTTTAATATGTATATACAACTTGATTTTAAATTTTTAGTGAAGTGCCTTTGTTTAACATAGAATTCGGTGATTGATTAAGAGTTGCAGTGAGCTCCAAGCGTAAAATCAGCCCGTTGCCTTGTTTTCCCATAATATGAATCAATCCGGTGCTCTAATAAGTTTACAGTGTTGTCATAAAAATACGTATTAGAAATTTATTACTGGACAAAACATTTAACTAAAACCATTATAATTATTATCGCGGAATGATTTTTTTCTATAAATTAGCATGAAATATCTGGAAAATCATAGATAATAATGATTTTTTTGGCAATTTTATGCTACTGTTTGCTACTACTTCACTGACATCTGAAATTTGTTTTCCGATTCCAACTCATAAAAGACCATTAACAAACCTTATAAAGTTGTATATGAATTCATGAACCATTGCGATGTTCCATGCAAGTAGAATATTCAAAGACAAAAAGATGTAAATGTGTTTATTTTATATATTTTCTTACCTTGTCAAGCTAAAAATCCATTTTATTTGAATCAACCGGTGCCAATAAATCCAAATCAGTTCAGGAACGGGAAAATATTCCAAATCAGCCCGGAACGATTACGCACCGTGGTTAAGGTAATCGAGGTTAATCGAAATTAAACTGTATTGAAAATCATTGAATATGATACGCACGATTTTTTCATGCGCCAGTAATATATAATAAAGTCGGCATTCCAGGTGGTCTGCATTACTGCACACGTTCATTTTACTCTGTCTTACACTGAATTTAAATTCCATTTACCATGGCACATTAAGAGGAATTATTTCTCCATATGAAATACGCCTTTTATAGAAATTTTCTATTTTATCATTTTCATTTTGAACCTATACAATTTACAAAGTGACTTTAAGTAAAAAGTGATTATTGCTTTTACATTTTTTTTCATCTTAAATAAATGCATGCGCGTAAAAAGACTCCCCTTTTCACAGACTCAAAAATCTTTTCCAACAACTAAACCCACCGATCCTGTTTTTTTAGCTGCTACTAGCACATATTTATTAGATTATTTGGCTGCTACTAGCATTAACAAAAGACGCATTTTCTTACAAGTATGCCCAGCGCTAACAAAAGAAGCGATAAGCAAAAGCAATCCTGGCCGCATGCGCAGTGAATAAAGCATGGCCATCAGTTTTCTCACTCTTTCTATCCATTTCTCAAATATTCCGACGTCGGCTGCATACATATGCAGACTGTATTTTCCTTTTGATGAGGCTTATCAGTGTTATTGGGCGATTAATACAGTGTAAACGTCGGCGCTATTAAGACTAAATAATTTAAAAAAAAATAAACTGTTAATGCAATAAATCATGTTTAAGTTCTAGGTCATGTCTCAATATTAAGATAAATCAATTAGCGAGATACTTTTGGAAGTGCTTTACAGTGCATTGCTACTTATAATAAAATAGGGCCTACATCTAATATAATATATGCTCTAAATAATTAATATACAAACAGCTGATTATTTTTCGATCCGTAACCCCTTTGTTTTTTCTTGAAAAGACATGAAGTCATGAAGAGCAGTGAAACTATTTAAAAAAAGGGGGAAAAAAGCAAACAAATTGATCCCACTGTTATGCCTTTATTTTTATTAGTCCGTCATGTAAACTTTACTTCTGTAACTAACATTGTCTTTTGTTAGCGCTAGTAGCACTAACAGAAACATACTATAGTAAGAACAGGCGTACTTTGTTAGTGCTAGTAGCAGTCTAATAAGTCTAATAAATATGTGCTAGTAGCAGCTAAAAAAACAGAATCGGGTGCTAAAACCACCTGTCGCATGTAAGCAATTTATTAAAAATTTAATAAAAAATCTTCAAATATATGTTTTAACAAGCTCGAAAAATTACATAGACCAGCTTGGTATATCTTTATTCTACAGTACAATGTAATAAAGTAAAATTAAACAAAGATGAAAAATACAATTTTTCTAAATACACTTTCATAGTCCAGATACTTACAATACATAAAAGTTTCTTGTTTCACAAATAAACTTGCCCACCTCTTTCACCATATGCCTGTTTAACAATTCTAGTGTCTCTTGTTTCTAAAATAAAATTTCAACATAGATTTCAAGATTGTCTAGAACATCTACTGTTCAACTCTTACATGTAATTTTCCAACAATATTCATGAATATAAAATATAATGTTTAAATCTCAGAATATTTTTCTAACGGTCATTAATGATAAAAAAACTGTTGTCGTCGGTTATGATTAAATGAGTTAATCTTTCTTCGTGTGTAATATGTAAGTTGGTTAATATCATTTTTGCCAAAAGCGGAGGAGATACCTAATCCTTAAACTTACATTTTGTTTGAAAGCTCCTTTGAATAAAGGAATAATCAAGTTGACCAACGAAGCAATGGATTGACAACAGTCTACAAGATGCTTGCAGTAATCTTCGAAATTCTGTAAAATATATCAAAATATTATTGGAGTCATAATTCTTATAATATCGACAGCACAAACATCACACAAAATTGATATTTTTCTCTGGTAAACATAAGTCATGAAAATAGTAATAGAAAACACAATTCCTTTATTTCCTATGAAATAAATAAACAAACATACATAATATAATAATTATGTAGTGATATATGATTGCTAAAATTTTGTGACACTTTGATTTAAAAAAAAGAAAAAAAGAAAAAAAAAAGAAATGAAAATGCGCGCTTACCTCCTTCAGTCCGAACCACTGTCGCCAATGTTTAGGATTTGTATCACAATTCTAAAATATGGTGTCAGTAATCTGATGTTTCTCGAAAATTTGGAATTTTGGATTTTATTGAATTTGATTAATAATTAGATGTTATTTTCAAACGCTATTTTATTTGTTCGAATCTAACTTTCATGAGTTTCCGTTTATTGTAAGTAACATGTATATGTCTCTTATTACAAAAATATTTTTCGTCAGCTACAATGCAACATTGTTTGAAAGAGACCACTGTTATTTTGCATCTCTGATTAACAACTTGCTAGAATTAAAGGCACATTATGCATCAGATACAAATAAATTTGTTCTTTTTTTAATTTTAAAAAAGCAAGCATGAATTTTTTAACTTTAAATTAATGGTTTTAGAGCATGTTAGAAAAGGTGGTTCATTTAATTTGCTATTTATTAAATTTTTGAGAACTTTTAAAGTATAACAAATATAATAGAAATTAAAGCATTGCTGGGGCATGATATGCATTTAAGCGTCTTGTTTGACCATCGATTTTCATATTCATTGATAACCGTCAGATTATGTTCTAGAATCTTACTCATTAAGGCACTCAATCTTATTCTTATTTAATTCTGCTATTCATGCGCGGTTTTTCTAAGTTCTTTGCATTTGTTCAATGAAATAATTCATGCTAAATTTATAACTTTTCCCACATTCTCTTTGCAGTTTAATCTGCATAACTGTATGATTATTAGATTGATAAAAGACATGTGTACGTTGCTTATCGTGGTGAAATAAACATTTAGTTTGAACTTTGATTCATCTTTTGTGTACCAGAACACATATTTTCTGTTTTTAAAGTAAACCTAAGTAAATGCATTATTTCTAAATCAGAAATCGACTGTATAACTATATATGCTCATCAATTTTAGAAACAAAGCTTATGTTTGATACAAATGTTTGTATTTTCAACAAATGTTTATATAAATTATAGATAAGTAGCATGATTTTTTTTATAATTCCAATCCGATTTTATACCTAATTTATGCACTTTTTGAACCAAACAAAGCAAACAAAATTACCACAGTTCTTTATTGTAAATATTCATCCATAACAATATTTATTCTGAATAAATTTATATAACAAAGATGAAATCTTAGATTACTTACCCAATAATAATTTCTTAAAATGTATACTGAAATCTTAGATTTCTTACCCACTCCCAGAATTTTTCAGAATCCAACTTTTGTAGGTTAGATGTCACCAGCGAGGGATCAGGAATTTCGTGAATATGCTAAAAGTTTCAATTGAAATTTATGTGCAAATGAATCATATGGATTCAAGTGATCAAAATGTTTTAAACGTTTTAATCTCTTCCGCTTTATTCTTAATACCATGGTTGTTTCCGTTTTATGCAATTTCAATAAAATCTGAAAAAGATCCACGTAGTAATAACTACAAATCGGGTTTCTTATCAGAATCTCAATTGTATAACTAAATGCAACAATAAATCCTAAAAGAAAACTAACATAAACCGATAGAAGCAGTTGTAATTATACACTTCTATGTAGCCGGGGAGCCTTTTTCATCACTCTTTCGATCTCTATGAATAAGTAATGAATAATATACCATATATGAACTTAATGACGTATTTAAGACCTTAGTAAATATCCTATTCAGCACAGCTACCTGATGAATTTTGTTTGTTTTAATTATGATAGGAATTTGTTAAAATATTAGCAGTAAAATTGTACATATGATAAAAGAAATATATAAAAAGCTTTCGTCATGTGTTAAAAATGCTTGTACATTTTCAGAATATCTTTTTGTATTCATTTTTATATATCTATATTAGATTGAAACAAAGAGAGCAACTTTCACCAATATTGTTTATACTCTTCATTAATGATGAACACTGACCAGATGTTAACCAATTATGGGTATTTGTATTGCTTTTTTGCAGATGAGATGGTTGTATCTTCTAACGATCCTAATTCTTTATAGGATCACCTTATGCATATTAATATTTGGTACAATTAAAATCTGTATTTGAATCAGAGGAATATCAAAATAAAATTAAAAGTGCCAAATTAGTGAAACATAACATAACATAACATAACATAACATAACATAACGTTTTGCGTCCTTTCGTCGAAAGAGAAAATTATTTTCTTTTAATCTGTACACGTTATTCTAAAATTCGCACCTTTACCTAAATTTTAAAGTTTAATGTCAAGTAGAAAACAATCAACTTGTAGTTTGTCAACCTTTGCCACAGGCATATTGTAAATAAAGTATTGGATTGAATTGGCATTAGGTCGAAGGTGTTTAGTTAACTGGTATCCCTTAAACGAAGTATAAAGGACCTACTTGAAAAAAGATTCGCGATCCGGTGTAACATTAAATTTTGACCCCGTTAAAAATTGACCCAATGGGTATCTTTTAACGGAATTTGTATCACTGTTGTTTTGTGGGCTTAAGTAATATGTCCTGTTTTAACTTATAATACTTTGATTATGAATCTTTACGTATTATCTGTTATAGTTTTCGTGTTTGTTAATCATTCAGGTGAGAAATACAAGACTGCTGGTTATCTTACAACCATGACTTTGTTTGTTGTCCTCTGTAAGGTAATAATTGTGATCTTTTGTGCCGATATAAATTAAAATTTTCAGTTGTTTGAAAGTTATGAAGAGGACACAAAATTTGAACATATGATCTCTATGTGTGACCTAGACCTAGGGGGTAGCAGTCTGAATATTGCGCTTCACACCTCATGTCATTACAATGAACATTATTGCAAAGTCATTTTAAATCTTTTTCAATCGTTTTAAAGTTAAGGAGCGGACAGGAAAATGTTGAACTTTAAGTGTGACATTGACCTTGGGGTAGAAACCTGAATGTAACTTGGGCGAATCAACCCTGATTCTGTGCTCTGTAGATTGTGTAATGGCAGGGATCATTTGTGCAAAGTATTTTTAAAAACTTTGAATTGTCAAGACTTACAGAGCTTACATTAAAATTGATGTTTGAACATTAGACCTTTGAGTTAGTCCTTGACCTTAAAGGCGTTCACTTGATTGTGGTGTTCTGCATATGGTGTCATAATGGTGATCATTTCTGTCTTGTTATCTTAAAAACATCGCAGCAGTTGAAAAGGAATATTTATTTCTTTCTATATATTATGTTGTCTTTTACTTTTGTTTCATAATTTGTTCCTCTAAAAAGACCCATAGTGCAACATCTAATAGAAATAGGAATGAAAATGTTAACGCTGTAACGGTCATATGTTTATCACTTAAATTTCAAATGTAATAATAAATATTACCTCTTGTTGATGCTGACTCACAACTTCTGGCTTTTCTTTGATAGCAAAAGGCAACGACTCAAGCAAAAGAAAAAACTCCTTTCGAGATTCTGCGACGGTTGCAATGAATTGTATAGCCTTGAAATCCACATGGTCGTCAACCTTGAGGAAAGCAATAAATATATTAGTCTGTTCAAAGTTGTTTTTGATCTTTAGACAATATATTTTAAAGACTGAAGTTTGAGCATTTGAACGAATCATAAACTTACTTTGCAGAAAGTAAAATCTATCTTGTACAGTATTTACGCTATCCTTTTTCAAAGCAATATTATTGAATTAAGTAATAGACGCATTGCGGCATTTTTTTCACTGATATTGTTAAATGATCATTTACAAGTGGCTTTATCCAACTGTTCTCTTCTTCCTTTTGGTTGACCTGAAAACAGTGAAAACAAGCAAATTTATATGATTAGCGTATATAATTTCAACATATGACATTTTCAACAATAAGTTTATAAAACTACTTTTATGTAATACAAGTTCATGGGAGTTTTTGTATTTCGGCATTTTACTTGCCCTATGATTCTAGGCTTACATTCAACTCGCAAGCACGCTATGTTAGACTTGTTCGATGTATTTTATGTACAATTTTATGAGTACTGTATTCTCTATTTTTTATTTTCATTTATTTAATCTTATTTTTGTGTGATTGCCAATTTAAATTAAAAAGCAATAAAATTTACTTTTACATATTCATAATATCTAATTAAACTAAAGAAAGCGTAAATTACAGTACTTATGCTATAGTGAAGTTACAGGACTTTGATGAAACATATGATGATAAAACTGAAAGTTGATACAGAAAATAAGGACATTAAATTATTAAATCTCCTTTATGTCTGCATGCAAACCGGTTTCTTTTTTTATTTAATAATATTTTACATGTAAATAAGTAATTGTTTATTACAGTGAAAATAGTTTAAAGTAAATGAATTTTGTCGATAATCATTTAAAACCAAAGATGTCTAAAAATATTAACTACAATTATACATACTATCGATTGTAAACTGTCCCGCTCATTTTCGAGTTCCTTTACTCTTTCTTTCAGTTTGTTATTTTCTTCTTGAAGTTCTGATAAATCAGCAGGTTCATCTTCTGTTATACTTTCCTATGCAAGATAATACAAAACAAACGACAATAATTATATCTTAATATTTATGTTGCATACACTTCTTTGAGTATTAAACTGACTTGGATAGATTCTTTTTTTTTAATCTCCAAAATGTTTCAGAAATCTGTCGTCCATGAAAATGTTTGCGATTATCAAAACAACAGCCAGCTATGATATGCTTTCGGTGGAAACATGTTATTTAGATTAGAATTGACTGGTAGGATGTCCTCTTTACCGAGTATGTCGGTACTGACTTGACTTCATGGAAAATCGTGCTAAAACATGTCAAATGTCATTACGCAGGAATTGGAATCATCTGAGATGGACAAGTGTAATAAAAGATATAATTCATGATACCCGAAACAATATTGTTTAACTGGTTCAATATACATGTACCTTTTTATTACTACATTTCCATAGTAACATATGTTTATTTTTCACACCGGAAATAGGTGAATACAACGATTTTGCTGGGTAACAGCAAAAGCAACGGATCACATGCTCGTTATTTGTGTTTCCTGCAAAATTTGACTTTTTCACAATTATAAACCACACCGTCTTGATACCTATAAACCCTGAGATCTCTTACCGTATATAACGATTTATAATTCATATATCTGTGAAGAAATGAAACTGATATAAATCTGGCACACAGCAAAATATATGTAGAAAAATACACTTTGTTGTGGTGTCCTATTCGTCCACAAAATTTCGCTAAAAAACGCGCGATAATTATCGGCTCAAAATGGCGAAATTTAGTACTAAATTTCGCTAGTCTCTCAAGCGATAATTATCGCCCTTTCTATAGACAAGGGACACTTTTACTAGCGAAATTTCAACTCGATTATATTATCGTCTTATTTTTCGTATGTTGTGTGTTCCTCACGCGATAAGTATCGCGTTGAACGGCGCTAATTATTGCATAAGAGACTAGCGAAATTTAGTCTTAATTTTGCCAAGTCAAGTCAAGTCAAAAAACATTTAAGCTACAGTCTAACTGATATCCGGCAAAGCCCCTGTAGACGTCCGGGGTGATCCGGGAAGGACCGGGGTACGACCGGGAACAACCGTGGTACATCCGTACCCAGCCTTGCATAATTTTTTTTTCAGAAAATCATCATGAATTACTACTATTCTGGAACAATAGATATTATATTAAATAAAAATTATGTATCAATGTAATCATTTTTGCGCGTTTTAAATCCACCTGAGGCTCCCTGGGTCAACCGGGGCTCTTCTGGCGTCATCCGGGAACGACCGAGAAAGCACCGGCATGAACCGTAGCTTCACCTGGGCTCTGCTTTTTCTTTAGTCCCGGGGGCGGCCCTCGTGGGTGGTAAGTAAAGGGGAAATTTCCGGGTTTTGTTGCTGGGGTTTTGTGTGACCGCAAAAATTTACCCCGGAAACCCTTCCCCAAACTTTCCGGTTTTCCCTTTCCGGGGTGGTCCTTTGGGGTCTGCCGGGAGTCAGTGAGACCGCAGCTTAATTTATTTCTCTCATTTCATGTACAAGCTTGACATAATGAGGTGACAAACATGAATAAAAATACAATGAGGCTCAAACAGCAGTTAATTAACATACTAGCGAAAAATATAATGGTAAATAATTTGATATTACATATTAGATTTGTATACTTTCCAGTTTCACGTACGTGGAGAGCCAAACTCTGTTGTATATTTATATATTACTAAAACATAATAACTAATAGAGCAAGCTGATGGTAGTGTTCATTTTTTTCCTTAATTTTTTCTTTCTTTCTTGTTATTTTACCAATGTGATTCGATTGAACACTGGACGAAATTTGCAGTGAAAAATGTAGTTAAATTGGTTGGTTTGGAGTGAAAAGAAAAGAAAAAAATGAAGTAAGGAGGAAAAATTATACACGTGAAAGTATTTAATTGACGATTACTGCTCAATAGTCATAATAACAATCAACATTTTTTTACATAATTATTCATATCACAATATCATGAAGCAAAAAAAGTTTTAAACAAAATGAATATACTTCATGTCTTTCAGTAAACATGCGAATCATTTTCAAGTGATAAATGGAGAAGTCTACTGATTAACAATAACAAACAAGATAGGGAATAGAATAGAAATTCCATGGTTACTTGAATAATCTCAATTTTATGAAGTGCGAATGGCAGATGAGGGGAGATAACAACTATAAATGTGTCCATAGGACACGGGTGCCCGCCACTGTTCTGTCAATCTTATGACTCTAGGTCAAATATTTTTTGAAAACAAAAAATCTTTTACTAAGTAAAGGGCAAGAACTTTACATATACTGAATAAATCCACAAGCAAACCCGGAGGTGCATAAGTACACATGCTGATCATCATTCTTGTAAACTTTCGGGCCGACAAGTGAAATACTTTTTAAGCTATGCATGAAACAGTTGAAAATTGCAAATTTATACTACTGTAAGTCAAGGGCAACAACTCTAACAAAACTGAAAAAAATCCACATGCAAAGTCCCAGGTGCATAGCTTCACAGTGATGTGAATCATTATTCCTGTAATTTAGTTATGTTGATCATTTTTCCTGTAAAGTTGGTTGATTCTAACTCAAGCACTCAAGGAACAAATAACAACATAATGAAACGGTTTTTACTAAATCAAGGGAAATAACTCTACAAATACTGGATAAATCCACAAGCGAAACCCCAGGTGCAATACTGAATATGCTGAGCAACCTTCCCGTAAGGTTTAATGACTCTATGTCAAATCCTTTTTGAGTTACATGCGACACAAGTTGAAAATTGCAAAAAAATTCTTTTCTAAGTCAATGGCAATAACTCTAAAAATACTATATAAATCCAGACGAAAATACCCAGGTGCACAACTACACATGCTGATCAATATTCCTGTTAAGTTTCATGACTCTAGGACAAATACTTTTTGAGTTACATGCGACACAAGTTGAAAATTGCAAATCTTTACTAAGTCAAGGGCGAAAACTCTAAAAAATACTGAATAAATCCACACAAAAATACCCAGGTGCACAACTGCACATGCTGATCAACATCCCTATTAAGTTTCATGACTCTAGGTCAAATACTTTTTGAGTTACGTGCGACACAAAAAGAGAACGGACGGAAGGACGGACGAACGGACAAGGGTAAATCTAAATGCACGCCACTAAAGTGGGGGCACAAAAATAGCTTTACATAGTAGATTTACTTCCCTTTAGTTAAAGTTACCTGATGTTCAAATGTTTTTTTAATACATTGTATAATGTAACAACGTACTTTGTAGCTTTAATCCTTTTTATATGCAGATATGAAAATGTTCTCAAATTCAGGTAAACTTACTTCTACTTGAAGCAATAGCTGTCTGGTTCCTGTCAAAACTTCGTCTGAAATCGAGCCTTCGCATTTTGCAATAAGTTTTTCTAAGGTGGCGACTTTTATCTCCAAATATTTTTTGACAAGCAGTGTGTACACGGCAATTGGGTATTCTTCCTTTAAGTCTATTTTCTTCAGCTATTAACAAATATGAATTACAATACTTGGTTTCGAAAGGAAAAGAATTAAGGCAAAAAACAACCCGAGGAAAATATATATAAAAGTTTTGCAAGAATTATGCCAATTTGTGAAAAAAGGATTGTATTTACATTATCAGCTTATCAAGGGACAATTCTTTCACAGGAGGAAACCTTCTGCTTGAGTA